CCGCCCCCCCCCTCTCTGCCACTCTTCACCTGCTCATGTGTGTGCTCGCTCGCTCTCTCTAAAAAAAATCTTAAAAGGAAAGAAAAAGTGATAGGGAAGCTGATACAGTCTTTAGGAGGTAGCATCAAATCTTTAAGCATGGGCCCTGGGCCTAAGTATGCGCCAGAGCTCCTTAAGTGATACTAATATGTGGCTGGGGTGGACAACCATTGTTTTATATGCATTCTCTTGTTTACATCTTTTAAGATAGCCCTGTGAAGTTGGATCTACCCTGTTTCTTCATTCTTTAAAGGGCATTGGTGCTGGTACTTTGTCGATTTTTCCAAAGGTGTCAGCTATATCATGACTGCCACCTGGCTGACAATGATTGTAAGATACGGTTAATTGTGAGAAGCAGCTCAATTTTAGAGATATTCAAATGTGAAAAAAAATATGCATCTTAAGATCAGTAAAATTAAGGTATCCTCTCCATGCTGATAAACGAAGCATTTACTATATGTCAAGCTTTTATCTAAACACGTTATTTAACAAGTAATTCATTTAATCCTCACCACACCCTTATAGGAGTATTTATGTACACTGTACAGTTGAGAACAGAGTCACAGAGACTAGGCTACAGTCTCTGAACCCAAGGAATCATAATTACTATGCCCCGCTATCAAGATGAGGTCTGGCACCATTCCGAATAGTGTGGTCAGTTCCTTTAGCAGAGAGGCATGAGATGCTCAAGAAATAAATGTGTCGGGAAAGATACATATAGAAGTCTGCAGACCCCAGATTGACGCAGACTCTTGGGAATCTCCTCGTGGAATCTAACTTTGATCAAGTAACCAAGAGTGAAGGTGACCAGTCTCCTAGTGGCTAGGAGTGGGGCTGAATGACTCTTGGTTTTTCTCCCCGATGGGCCAATGTGTTTACAAATGGGTAAAACTTCCAGGTTCTTCCCAACCATGTGGCTGTTATTGTTTGATAAAGGAGCCTTAAGAAACAGGCTTTTTTTTTTTTTTTTTTTTTTTTTTTTTTTTTTTTTTTTTTTTTTTTGAATGAGACAGATTTTTAACATCCCTGTCTTCCTCTAGATGGATGGAGAGGGGTTGCTTAATGAGGAATTGCCAAATTGCTGGGAGTGTCCAAAGTGCTACCAGGAGGACAACTCAGAGAAAGCCCAGGTAAGGAAGCTTTATCCAGACTGCACCGGAGAAGAAAAGAAACGTCCAGCTTAGAGGATGGCTAGAGTCTGTTTGCCTTTGCGTCTTTGTTCACATGGTTTTTCTGACCATGGAGGTGATTTTGTATTTTGTTTGATAACTTTTTTTCCCCCCTCTTCGGTTAATTATTTGGTTTTCTTTTGTTTGAGTTTTTGTGTTACTGAATATTGTTCCACTTGGGGTCTGCAAATTGCCGAGGTCCTCTTACACTCTGAGACCCTAGAAAAAGAGGCAGCATAGCTAGGCTGTGTGAGGAGGGCAGTGAGGCGAGCACGGTTGCTCCTGAGGAATAACACTAGAGGGAAGGCAGTGACCTGAGGCAGCTAGTAAATACAGTGGTGTGCCGGAGTTTCCAGTTAAGCGGGCTCACATTTTTGTCCTCTTCACCTTTATGGCCCTACAGAAAACCCTACCCTTGTGCCCTACACAGGCAGCCCCTCCCTGCAAGGGGACCCGTGCCATGACCTTGGCCCTGAGTAGCTGACATTGCTGGCCTGATGGGTAATACCAAAGGGCCAAGAGGACTCTGGTTGATCAGGCCAGGAGGAATAAGACCTGTTGAGGGCACAGACAGAGGAGGCAGCTGGCCTAGTGGCAGCCATCCAGGCACAGTGGTCTCCTCCAGGCGCATTGCACAGGAGTAGGGACAAGTTTCCTGGTCTGTCTGTTTCTTCCCACTTGGGTACTGAGGTGACTGAATTTTCATTCTATATATGTTTGAAGGGCAGGGATTTCTAGAGTGGACTAGTGCTGAAGTTCTCCTTATCCCAAGTTCTTAAACTAGGGGTTCTTAAACATTTTCTCTTCATTGACGACAGCGGAGGCAGTAGTGGTGGTGTTTGCCTCCCTGCCACAGCAGGTAGGGGGACAGATGCCTCATTTTATCTTTTTTAAGTTTATTTATTTTGAGAGAGAGGGAGAGAGCACATGTGTGCACACAAGTTGGAGAGGGGCAGGGGGTGGGGGGGAGGGAGAGAATCCCAAGCAGACTCCGTGCTGTGAACACAGAGCCTGACGCAGGGCCCGAACCCATGAACCATGAGATCATGACCTGAACCGAAACCAAGAGTCAGATGCTTAACTGACTGAGCCACCCAGGTGCCCCAGGTGGCTGTATGTTAGTATTGCCTTCTTGCATTGCAAAAGCCAGCACCCACAAGGTAGTCATTCTCTTCCAACCACAGTGCCCTATGAATGTAGAGGAAAGGGAGCAGGCTTGTTGCTGAGGGACAGAAACCATCTCCTTGAGGAAAATGTGAACCACTGCTCACTGATCCCTAGTGGAACACTGGTTCAGCCTCATCACGGCGGAGTCATGGTGGCCCCAGAAGGAGACAAGTGGCGTAGGATGAGGTCGTGGACCTTTATGGAATGTCAGCTTCACTGAACCAAAATTCCTCTTTTTCATCCAGAGTAGATTCCTTTGGAGCAGGGTGGTTCCTCAGAGGTTCTCATTCTCTGCTTTATATTCCATGCAGTTGGTCTCTAAGGATAGGGTAGGGTGCTGAGTGGAAGAAGCAGCCTGGTGGAGTCCAGCTCAGACACCAGTGGAGCTAAAAGTGGTGTTTACTTCTGTCAGATTCTGCGTTCTAGTTTAAATGGTATATGTAGGCTGCTTTTCTTCTACCACAGGCATCTCTCTTCTATCAAAAGCATCTCCTGGGTGAAGGAGTTAAATTAGAGATAGAACTAAAAACGGTCAGATTGCATAGGGGTAAAGTTGTGGCCTCTTTAAAGGGTATCTTTATCCAGGGAATTATAATCCAGAAATTGGGGCAAGAGATGAATAAGGTGGGCTATGGAATCGTGCAGCCCAAATTTGGATCTCACTCCTCTATACTTGAACACAAACCTTTTTGTCACAGGTAGATTTCCCAAGTGACCTATTTTAAGGGTTTTGTTCTGTAATCAGCTTTCTCGGCACAGACTTGAGCTCGGTTGCTGATCGAGGCAGATTGCAGACTAGACTCTGAGGAGGTGACCACCCTGTAGCATGCAGGTACCCCTTTCCCCATAGAAGAGCGGTGATCTGTCTTCTCCCTAGTCTCCTGAGAGCAGTAGTGAGGCTCACCCCGTAAATGTAGAGGGTTTTGGAGAAAGCACTGATGTGGCTCTTTGGGGGCCTGTTTTGCAGAAGCGGAAAATGGAAGAGAGTGATGAAGAATCCGTGCAAGCCAAAGTCCTGCGGCCCCTGCGGAGCTGCGATGAGCCCCTCACGCCCCCGCCTCACTCACCCACTTCTATGCTACAGCTCATCCATGACCCGGTTTCCCCTCGGGGTATGGTGACTCGGTCATCCCCTGGGGCTGGCCCCAGCGACCACCACAGTGCCAGCCGGGATGAGCGCTTCAAACGGCGGCAGTTGCTGCGGCTGCAGGCCACAGAGCGCACCATGGTACGGGAAAAGGAGAACAATCCCAGCGGCAAAAAGGAGCTGTCTGAAGTTGAGAAAGCCAAGATCCGGGGATCGTACCTCACTGTCACGCTACAGAGGCCCACCAAAGAGCTCCACGGGACATCCATTGTGCCCAAGCTGCAGGCCATCACGGCCTCCTCTGCCAACCTTCGCCATTCCCCCCGCGTGCTAGTACAGCACTGCCCAGCCCGAACCCCCCAGCGTGGGGATGAGGAGGGGCTGGGGGGAGAGGAGGAGGAAGAGGAGGAGGAGGAGGAGGAAGATGACAGTGCAGAGGAGGGGGGTGCAGCCAGGCTGAATGGCCGGGGCAGTTGGGCTCAGGATGGAGACGAAAGCTGGATGCAGCGGGAGGTCTGGATGTCTGTCTTCCGCTACCTCAGCCGCAGAGAACTTTGTGAATGTATGCGAGTGTGCAAGACGTGGTATAAATGGTGAGCAGGGATACAGGGATCAGGAATAGGGGTATGGGAGCAGGTGGCAGGTTTTCCATAAGAGAACTGCATGCGTCCTGGCATCTGGAGGCTTGCTGGGTCTTAAAGGATTGAATCCACTCTGTCTGTTCCCTAGACAGTGGGTCCTGTTATAGATGTGGCCAGTCGTGCCTATAGGTGTGGCCCTTCAGGGAAATGTGGCCCTTTGCTTCCTCTCCCTGCTCCGACCTTTCCCATCTCTCTTTTTACTGAACATATGAAACTGATCTGGGGGATGGATTTATATAGTTTGTGCTAAAACCTCAGTCCACAGAGCTGCGACAGTTTTCCCCCTCAAGTAAGCTGCACTCATCACACATCACACATCTGTTGAGAGCCTGTGATGATGTGATGGTCACTGTTATTGGTGACACAGATGACTGCTTTTAAGCCCCTGCCTCAATTACCTCTCCATCTAATGAAAGGGGTGGACATGCTTTTCAAAAAATTTGAATGTTTCCACAGTTTTCCAGTTGTTTGTTCTTATCCCAACAAGACCTACCATTTCTTCTCAAAAGGGTGATGCTTGGACCACTGGCATTACCTGGGGTCATGTTAGAAACGCAGATTCTCAGGGTCCGTTTCAGTATGGCCTGAGTCAGAGCTTTGGGGGTGGAGCCAAGCAAACTGTTTTTAACACTTTTTCCAGGGGCTTCTGATACACTGCTCTATCATAAGCAGCTTGTTTCTGCCATAGAAGTCTTATGTGCCACTGGTGAAATATTTTCAGTCTTTAAATAAAGACCTCATTCTTTACAAACACTAGTTTTATTTCCCAAATCTGAATTAATATGTGATCTACCCAAATTCTCCTAATATTTTCTCTTTGTAGAGCTAGTGGGCCTGCCTGGCTCTATTCCTCGGTTTCCAGGCTGAGCCACATAAGACTGCCATTATGTGCTGTCTCCCCTTCCCCTGCCAACCAGACTCTGAGCCGGGCTGGGAGGCAGGGGCTGTAAAATATTAAACAGAAGCCTGCATGTTGCAGTGCTATTTGTGGCTTGTGGACTGTAGATTGCAGTGGAAAGGCAGGCCTTTCGCTTTCAGTTCTGGCCTGGACTGGACCAGAAAATATAAAGATAGCCCTGAGGCAGAAACGCAAGATGGGAAGAAGACTCTCCAGGCCCGATAATAAAGAGCCTCTTTCTGCCTGATACAGTAGTGGGCTCTTTCTAGGGCTTAAAGGAGGACTGACTGTAGATATGCTGAGGAACGCCTGCATCTCAGGCAGCTGGGTATGACTGACAAAGGAGAGAATGAAGGCAAGCCTAAGGCTTCAGGCAGCAGGAAGTCAATTTTTTAAATAATTCCTTATGTACACTTTGGTGGGAGCCATACCATTTTAATGCACATGAGAGAGTATAGTATACTGTTTGTCGTGTGTTCCTAACCACTGCGCTGTATTCCCAGCCCTTCCACAGTAAATCGGTGAACTGGTCAAGTTGCCTATTACTTAACCTGTAGGGCTGCCATAGAGGACAGGCCCTTTTGTCTGAGGATTAAAAAAACAAAGACAAACAAAAAAACCCCAGCAGGGCATGATCCTTGTCTGCTTATAGAAGAACCTGGGGAGGGTGACACTCCAGGTGCTCTGTGTTTTCTAGAAGCCTGCAGTACCCTTTGATGGGAGCTCCTCTGACAAGGAGTATCACGTTATTGACGGCTAGTGTTCTCTCCTTCTGTCACAGGTGCTGCGACAAGAGACTTTGGACAAAAATTGACTTGAGTAGGTGTAAGGCTATTGTACCCCAGGCCCTCAGTGGCATCATCAAGAGGCAACCAGTTAGCCTGGACCTCAGTTGGACCAACATCTCCAAAAAACAACTGACGTGGCTCGTCAATAGACTGCCAGGTGAGCAGGCAGGGAAAGCTGAGTTACAGGCAGTGCTTAAAACTGCTTTAGGGCAATTTAGGGCAACAGTCCCATTCCATTGTTGTCTTTCTGCTTAACAAGGGATTCACCCAGGGCCACCTTAACTGCCAGTCCCCAGGCGGCACCCCAGACTAGCTGGACTAGCCAATCATTGCCCCGGACAATGAAGAGAATGGGTCTTCTCAACACAACCACTGAAGAGATTTGAGTAAGATGTTGCCACGATCAGCCCCTTAGAATGCTTTGTTCCCCTCAGCATTTTGAGGTCTTGGGAAGACAGTGTCTCGCATACTACATTGCTCCTGTAGGAACTAAGTAATTGGTTTTACCACCAAAGCTAGAAAATGTCATATAGGAGACCATAGGAATTTTTGAACTGGATTTCTAGACTGAGAATCCATTTTACCGTGGTCACATCAGCTCGTCGTTGAGGCTTTGGATGTGCTGATAGAGTATACGATTGCATGTCTGTTTCTTCCCGCTGCAGGACTGAAAGACCTCCTCCTAGCAGGCTGTTCCTGGTCTGCAGTCTCTGCCCTCAGCACCTCCAGCTGCCCCCTTCTCAGGACCCTTGATCTTCGGTGGGCAGTGGGAATCAAGGACCCTCAAATTCGGGACTTGCTGACTCCACCGGCTGATAAACCAGGTGTGCTCTGGGCCTGACTTCTCTGTGGTCACCTGAGGGTAGCTTTGTCTTTCGACAGACTTTGTCCTCAGAAACTAAAAAAGTGTTACAAATGATGCTGTGGATGAGTGCAAATGGAGAACAGAGCAATGGACTCAAGGTTAGCTATTTACAGCCAGTTACCTGCCTGCAGATAAAGGAGGGGCTACTCCGTCTCAGGGGTATTGGAGTTTGGGGCCCAGAGAGTATAATCCTGAGGAAGGCCGGGAAGGCTTCATGGTTGAGGTGGAACATTAAAAGCTGTTTGCATTATGGTCTAAAAAAGTGTGGGAGTGTGGAAAGGGGTGGAGCATTCCACACATACCCTTTTGCTCTATAAGTGAGGCATAATCTAGCAGCTGGGAAGAAGGAAAATGTGTCTGGTTTCCTAGAAACTGCCCCCACACACTGCTCACTACAGGCAGGGCTGGGTGTGGGCAGTTCGCTCAACCGCTTCAAGAAGGCCTGGCCAGGAAGGAGCTGAAGCTGCCTGAGGCTTTGGAGCTGGACCAGAGTTAAGAGTTTTGACCTAGGTTCTTTTCTGTGCAGGTCAGGACAATCGCAGCAAGCTCCGGAACATGACTGACTTCCGGCTGGCAGGCCTTGACATCACGGACGCCACGCTTCGCCTCATCATTCGCCACATGCCCCTCCTTTCTCGACTCGACCTCAGTCACTGCAGCCACCTGACAGATCAGTCCTCCAATCTGCTCACCGCTGTCGGGTCTTCCACTCGCTACTCCCTCACAGAGCTCAACATGGCAGGTATGCTGCTGTGATGTTTCATGACAGACGGTACCCCGTGCCTCCCGGAGGGCCCAGCCCTCCCTGGAACTTGACCAGTAAAACAATGAACTTGGGTCTGTTGACTGAACTGTGTTAACTCGTTTCCTCACACCTGAACAAGGACTCTGATTTCTCGCTGTTTTAACTGATGGGGGTGGAGGCCCAAGTAGTTGTCAGGTGCCTAAGGTCATGGCCAGCTGCCAGCCACAGCCTGGTCAGCTTTCCAGTGCAGGGAGTGAGGCATCAGGGGGCACTTCCCGTCTCTGAGCCAGGTAGTTACAAGACACAGAGGGCTTTTGCTGAGCATTTGAAAGGAAAGAGCTGGGGAATCGAGCGGCAGGGGCAGGTGCCTGTGGCAGTATGTACCCAGCATTGTCCTCGTTGTCACTTTCCCCACAGGTTGCAATAAATTGACAGACCAGACCCTGATCTACCTACGGCGCATCGCCAATGTCACCTTGATTGACCTTCGAGGATGTAAGCAGATCACTCGAAAAGCCTGCGAGCACTTCATCTCAGACTTGTCCATCAACAGTCTCTACTGCCTGTCTGACGAGAAGCTGATACAGAAGATCAGCTAAAACACACACAGCCCAGACTGAACAGGAAACCGATCTTCCCCTGACTCCCCAGCCAGGAGAGCCTCTCTCCCCGACCCTGCACGGGCTCTGAGGCCAGCGTCACACTCCCTCTCTGCTCTCCTGTCCCTTGAGCCCTTTCCCTACAGGCTGGGCAGAGAGGGTGGTAGACACCAGGCTTACCTGCCTGCTCCTCTCCCTCCTAAGGAGAAAGGAGTAGCAAGCAAATTGATCCGAATCCGAGGGGAAAGCACAGGCTCTGTGCTGTCAAGGTGCCTGCTCGCTTGCTCGCCTGCCCGCCCGCCCGCTCACTCACCGGCCAGGAGGCCAGGCTCTCAGTTTGGGGTGTCTGTGCAACCATCATCTGTGCTGGGCCCTGGGGCCCTTCTCCCCATCCACGGTCCCCAGCCGTGCCTGGTTCTGAGCAAATTTCCAGGGAAGAAAGCGGCCCTGTCTCCATGGCCAGGTTCTCCTCGTGGTGTCCAGTGCGTGTCTCTCCTCTACCACACTCTCCCCGCGTATGCAGGAGGGGCCAGCAGCAGCCCCGGGAAGGCTAGACCCGTGCCGATCATACTGGTGCTGTTGAGGTGTCTAAAACCTCTCATCCGTGTCCACGCTCTCCCCCTCCCTGTAGCTTGATCCTGTCCGATGCTCGTGGTGGTTCACGTAATGAGGTTACCCCACCCCAGACTTGCCCGCTAGTCTCTACGAGGTCCTTGTTGCACTTATCGGGGTTGAAGCTCTTCAGAGGAGCCGGAACTGTGTACCCCAGGGACACCCCCATTTTATTGCTTCCTAGGCAGATTCTGAGACAGGCACCATCTCCTTGTTCCCCTCCCTCGTTAGCCTCCCACTGCCCTTTCCACATGTTCCTCCTTCCTGCCTGGACAGGACTTTCCCAGGATGCGTGTCCTCAGAGGGAGCAGCCGATATCCCCCGGCTGGGGAGAGCAGAGAGCTGGGCTCCGTCCCACCTGCCTCCCAGCAGGCTCTGGGTCTCCAGTGGGTGTAGCCCCCAGAGCCCAGGCCTGTGTTTAGCCCCAGTGGCTCACTGATCTGGCACCTTGTGGGGGGGAGGGGGGTCCTGCTTTGAAGCCAGTCACCTGCCCTCTGCCTGCAGCCGTGGAAGGGGGTGTGCATGTGCCTCTGTGTGTGTGGCTGAGTGTATTACACGTGTGTGTGGAGGGAGGGAGGGAGGGGAGCATGGTGTCTCCCACCCCACCGCCCTGTGTTGAGCCCCATCAGCTGCCCCCTTTTACTTTGCATTGAACGGCCTGTCCAAAGATCCTCTCTCTAGGGCAGCAGAGAGCTTTTTGCACTTTAAAAAAAAAAAAAAAGGAAAGAAAGGTCGGAATTTCTTTTGGGTCAATATTTAAGTGTGTGAGGAGATGCTCAATAGCAGCAGCCTGTGGCAAGAGCTTATAAAGGACGGATGCGGATTTGCACTCTGCTCCCCACCTGTGAGGATAGCGATAGCACAACCTTGCCCCGCCTTCTCGTCCTCCGGCCCCTCCCTTCCTGGCCCCTTTCCTGCAGCCCAGCCTCAGGCTCCCCTCCTCCCAAAACCCTCCAGGGGGAGGAAACCCTACAGGGGAGGGGGAGGGGACGGAGCCCAGGCCCCGGGGGTCTGAAACGTGAGCCACCTTGAGGAGAGACGCCAACTGCACACTCGCCACTTCCAAAGCAATAGAGGCAGAGGGGCCCCCTCTTTGCCACCTAGCCCAGCTTCGACCCTGGCATTGACTGGCCTCCTGAGAGAAAACTGGGTCCTGGTAAGGGGTGGCATTGTGTCTGTTTCTTCCAATCTGCTGATTCTCTTGGCTGCTCCTTAAAAGCAGCAGTCTGCTCCCACGACCCTCTGCCCCTTCCATCGGTCTCCAGGCCCCAGTAACCTGGGGCTGAAACTTTGAGGAAATGCCAGTGACTTATTCCAGAGTGCCTCAGTTAGGGGAACTTCTCTGTAAAGAACCCTGGGTATTGAGCAAAAACCTTATTAATATTATTGTTAATGACCTATAATTGGAAGCTTCCTGCCTTTTTTTGGTTGCTCCTGTGGAAAGTACTGAAAAGATTGTTTTGTTTTGTTGTCTTTTTATAAAAGGGGAGGTGGAGAGACCCCCTCAGAGCAGGGATTGTGCCGGGAGAGTGCCTCTGACTTTGGGACATTTCATCCACAGAAATTTCCAAGCTGATGGTTTGGGTTTTTTGGGGTTTTGGTTTTAATTTTTGTTTGTTTTTGGTTTGGAAAAACAAGCATTTTTACCGTGCACGTAAATTGGTCAGCAGGAAAGGGAGCCCAGGAGGGCAGCAGTTGGACCTATGCCCTTGCCGGGTTTCCTTTATCTCTGGGACTGGAAGGGGGGGAAACGGTTTTTAGAGGTGAGGGTTGGTCCGTGTGGAGGACAGAAATGTCTCTGGGGACAGAGGATCCCGGGAGTCCCATCGCATTTCCTGCAATCTGCTCTGAGATGTGGCCTTGCCAGGAGAGCCTGCCCTCCTCAGACCGCAGGGCCAGACACCCCGCCTCCATCTTTCCGAGCACCGGGGCGAAAAACCACAAAGGAAAGGAAGAAAATTTATATATATATAATATAAAATCACTTGGTGATTAAAAAAATAACTGCTCCATAAATAAAACTCCTAAAGTCACTATGTTTAAAGGGTTTGGTTGTGTTTTTTTGTTTTTCGGAGAAATATTGTAAATATATATTTTTTGTTGCTGATTTAGAGTCAATCTCCAATGTTGTGCTAAAAAATTTAAATTAAATGTAAGCATTAAGGGGGCAAGTCCTGCTATCTCATTTGACACATGGGGGTTATTTTGGGCCAGGGAAGGAGGGAACCTAGTTGGACTTTTGTTTTCTAAACGTTCTCCACTATTGGTTTTAGAAAGAGCAAGGACCTCTTTCCTCTGACACGTGGGAATGGGAGATATTTGTGTAATAAAATTTTTAAAAGACAAAAAAAGAAATAGACTCCGATGGGAAATATTTTGATTTGGGTTTTGGGGGTTGTTTTTTTTTTGTTTGTTTTGTTTTTTTTGGGGGGGGGGTTTGTTTTGTTTTTTTAATAAAAAGGTTTTAAAAACAAAAACAAAAACAAAACCTTTTCTGCCTTGGTGTGTGTGTGCATGAAAGAGAAGGTCGTGCAGGCTCTGGTGCTGGAGGCCAAGGTTGCCTGCTTCATTCCTCTGAGCAGAAGCAGCAGAACTGCTATGCGCCTGTAGTACTTGCCTTTTTTTTTTTTTTCTTTTATGACAGAAAGCATTACTTGCTTCTAGAAACACCATGATACTTGACTTCATCAAGGTGAACTTTTTGATGGATGTGAAAATGATCCCCTGCAGTCCCCCTGCCTCTCCCATGGTGCTGTCCTGAGAAGGCCTGGGGATTTCTAATCTTGCCATCTCTGGAGATTCGAGGCCAACCTCCATCCACTGAAGCTGCAGAACAGGCCCTTCGACACTGCCTGCTCAAGGTCACCGAGCAAGGTCTGGGCCAGACAGGCTCCAGTCAGCATTTGTGCCACTGCATCCTGCTCCTTCTCATCACTTGGCTTGTTGAGTACGAGCTCGCAGCCTTTAGCCAGCGTGCCAGGTGCTGCCAGCCGACTGCCTCCTCGCCCCGATTGTGGCATCTCAGGAGAGCTGAACCCCCGTCTGGGAAGTCCTTCCTCCCACCACTATCTTCAAGGGAGTGGGGAGTCCCTGCCCATCCTATTCCCAAGCTGACAGTTAATGACCATCTACAATTCTGCACATTCTAGGAAAGGACAGGGTCTTGGACAAGGAGCTGATTTCATGTTGGTTTCCTGAGGACGGATATGGATGTGGCCATGTTTGGATGTTGCCAGAGCAGGGGGAGGAACGGTGTCAGTTTTGCGTCCTAGCCATCTCAGAAACCCATCTGCCTCTCGCTTATCTCATCTCTGCCACCCTACTCAAAGCCACCATTGTCTGGAACCTTAACCACAGCATGAGCCTCCCAGCCTCCACTCCAACCCCTGTCCTCCATGTTGCAGCCAGAACATTTTCCTTAAAAGACCAATTTGACTACTTTGATTAAAACCCATTTAGTGTGTTTCTCAGGATAAAGGCCTCAGTTTCCTCACTCAACATTTGCCCTTCCTTCTCCTCTCCACCCATACCTAACTATTCAGTCCCACCCTCCTTGGGCCTTTGCTGTTCCCTCTGCTGGTGCACCTGCCTCAGTTTATCTACTACTTCCTCTGGGAAGCCACCGTCCCTCCTGTTCAAGACTGGGTCATGTGCTCCCACAGTACCCTACTAGCTTTGGGGATGCAGAGGTCATCTCCCCAGCTAGCCGGGAAGCTCCACGAGGACAGAGAGGACTCTGTGTTGCTCACATCATCCACGGTGGCTGGTGCGGAGCTTGGCACCTAATAGGTGACGTTCCCAACAGCTCGGATCGGATCCCCAGAGGCCCATCCCTCCCCAGTGCAGTCCATCTGTTGCCATGTTCTCAAACTTCACATTTTCCATTACCTCATACATCTTTACCCTTCTTTCACGTGCTAATGCTACTAGCCTCTT